TAGATAGATAGATAGATAGATAGATAGATAGATAGGTAGATAGATAGGTAGATAAATAGATAGATAGATAGATTGATAGATAGATAGATAGGATAGATAGTCGTGCAATTGAAGGACTTGAGAACAGGTGTAATGTTGCAAACCTGCAATATGTTCACAATAAAATGTAGTGAATTCATTTTTATACCAGAAGTTAAAGGAACAATAAACAATATTTAAACGACCAAATACAGTACAAACGTCCAAAGACCTACCCTGGGTTTTCCTTCATAGTGGCTAATGTCTTCTACTGGGACTACAGCAGTGTAGTTCTTGGGAGCTGCTGCCTCTACAGAACGTAGCAGAGGACTCTTCTCCTCGTCTCCAGAGGTGGGCATGGTGGTGAACTCACGAGTAGTTCAGCAGGCTCACAGGGGTTAACGCTAGCCTGAGGATAGACATGACACTTTTAAATTTCTCCCAGAAAGAAAAAGACAGTACCGTCAAGCAAACAAAGCAAAGTTTACATTTTACCACCTAACATTTCCTTTTGCAAAGTACATGGAGAGTTTTCGCTGTGGGGTCATTTTTTTTTATATCTTCTTTTTTTTTGCTCTTTTCGTTCATTTTGTTGTTATGTAGTCGTTTTTGTAATTCATTTATTTTTGGTTTCCTTTCTCATACTTCCTTTTCACCATAGTTGTGGTTCTAGTTCGCTATATGATGAAATGTATCCGGGTTTTTTATGTTGGGCCGCTCTAATCTCGTGTTTCGAATTGCAACACTGTCCACGTCAACCCAGAGCAGCCAGTTGGTATTTAAGGAGCCCACACCTACTCACTCATAGTTAAGATACATTTTTTGTTCAAACAAATGAACATCGTTTTGACTCTGTTGTCTAAAAGATATTACAAAAGTATAAAATACCGAGTATATCTTGATGGACATAATATAAATATGAAGCACGTTCAATAACTAAAAAGAAAACAAAACATAAACCAAAACCTTAAAAAACCAAAAAAAAACCCAACGATGATAGCATTTTGCTTGTTTTGGGCTTTGTTGAATTGTATGAATGGCAATAATATGATGCTTATAATCTCACGACAATTTTGAGGATGTGATCATTTGTGGACAGAACCGGAGGGAAGGGGGTGGAGGAGGAAAAGGAAGACGCTAATAATATAAGAACCAGTAAGAGCAGCCTTTGCTGTTGCTTGTTTTTACATTCCTTCAGAAAACAGTGCTCTATCAATTAACAGTTCTTTTTCTTTAAAATTCGAACCAAAACGTTCGATGGTTCTAGAAGTCTATTAATCCTGTATTGTTATCAAATTTACTCATTTTGGTGCTTCTGCATAGAGTGTAGACGTGTTTCTGGTAACTTAAAGAAAAGGACTACCAGCACAATGCTTTCAATCCATATTGTCCTTTTTTGTTATTAGTGTCCTTATTATCATTGAAGCATGATGCGATTGGACAGAACCAGTAGTACATTAACGAACTGCTAGTAATCACCGCCAACCGACTGACAGAATCTAGCTAAATCCTTGATGTTAACATTAATAATGATAGTAATAATAATATTTATAATATTTATAATAATATGTATAATATTTATAATAATATGTATAATATTTA